GAAATCTCTATGTTGTTTATATTCTTGTCTGTGTTTCCCACTGATTATTTTGGATTTGGGGTTTCTCTTGCATTTGAATGAAGTGGTGTAAAGATCTACCTTTACTTCTGGACAGTGCTACTTGAATGGTGTTTACCTAAAGCTAATTAGTTTATCTTTTGCTCTTTATTATTATTATTATTAGTTTTTAGAGTCATTGTCTCACTTTATCACCATTGGTGAAGTGCCATGGCGTCACAGCTCACAGCAACCTCCAACTCCTGGGCTTAAGTGATTCTCTTGCCTCAGCCTCCCAAGTAGCTGGGACTACAGGCGTCTGCCACAACACCCAGCTATTTTTTTTGTTGCAGTTTGGCTGGGGTCAGGTTCAAACCTGCCACCTTTGGTATATGGGGCCAGCGCCCTGCCCACTAAGCCATAGGCACCACTTGCCCTTTATTTTTTTAATCAGGTCTTGGCATCTGGCATTTTTTGAGAGTAAATAAGGCAGACAGTAGTGGCTATGAACATTTTCTTTTCTGCTATCCTGCTTTGATTAGAGTAAAAGAATCCTTTTTCTAAACTAAATCCAAGGTGGAGTCCCAAATACCAGTATATAACATGGATAAATGGGAGTGGCTTTTTTGCTCTCAGTGGGTGAGAAGGGGGTAGGACACCTCATAGCCCTGCCCTCTTTGCCCTGTCCGTATTAATTAAGGACATAAGTAAGGTGCAAAGATAATCTAAAGTAAAGTTCAGATTGCACATAATCCTTAGGATCACTAAAATTCATGAGTTATTAGAAATATTATGCATACAAATTTGATTATTTATTGTGTGATCTCATTACTGTATATGCTTTTTGATTTTTTTTTAACTTTTTAATGTGTACAGCTTTCACTCTACTCAGTTCCCGAGGGTCAATCCAAATATGTAGAGGAGCCACGGACCCAACTTGAAGAAACCATCTCACAGCTGCGAAATCACTGCGAGCCATATACAAGTTGGTGTCAGGTACAGCTGTTCTGAAAATAGAGGGCATGCATTTCTATTTAGAGTCCATAGTTGAAAAGTCTATATTAGCTACATGTTTTTGGAAAAAGGCATGATAAAGGGCCCCAAGTTAAGAGTACCTGACTTAGAAGTGTTCATCAATGCCATCTGTGGAAAGAGATGATGAGATGTCCTAGCTTCCTGGTAGCAGCTGTTGCCAGGTCTGCAAAGAGAATTTCCCCCTTACTGGGCAGCATGTGGTACCTTGACTAGAGAGTGGAGGACTAGGAGCTGCCCTGTTGGTTGCAGTTGTAAAAACATTGTTGTCTACCGGGGAGGATATGGAACTTGAACTCTTAATGGAAGGAAAAAGATCTAATTTAAGCATTTACATCGAAATGGGGATATTTTCTCCCTTCAGTCTACAAATTGGTACTACTTTAAATAGGAATTGTTATAGAGGCTGAGTATGGTGGATCATGTCTGAAATCCTAGTACTCTGGGAGGCCAAGGTAGGTGGACCACCTGAGCTCAGTAGTTCCAGACCAGCCTGAGCTAGAGCAAGACCCCCACATCTAAAAATATAGCCAGGCATTGTGGTGGGCACCTGTCCCAGCTACTTAGGAGGCTGAGGCAAGGGAATGATTTGAGCTCAACAGTTTGGGGTTGCTACCAAGGGTGTCAAGGTGAGACTTGATCTCAAAAAAAAAAAAAAAAAGAAAAAAAAAAAAGGAATGGTTATAGAGCATTTTGAATGCTATAATAGGATAGCTAGTAAAATAGGATAGAATTACATACTAGAGTACTGAACTATTTGCCCCAGTGACCAAAGAACTTCATATGCATGTTGGCTGCTATCCCTGCCCATGTTTTGGATCAGGCATTTGTCATTATGAATGAAAGTGAGTGAAATAAATTTGAATGTAAATAAAAGTATTTCTGTGGCTGGGAGCTGTGACTCAAACTGTAATCCTGGCACTCTGGGAGGCCAACATGGATGGATTGCTTGAACTCAGGAGTTCAATATCAGGCTGAACCAGAGCAAGAACCATCTCTAAAAATAGCCAGGCATTGTGGTGGGCACCTGTAGTCTCAGCTACTCAGGAGGCTGAGGTAAGAGAATCACTTGAGCCTAAGAGTTTGAGGTTGCTGTGAGCTATGATGTGGCAGCACTCTACAGAAGATGACAGAGTGAGACTCTATCTCAAAAAAAATAAAAAAGTATTTCTGTGATTTTTTTAACATCTGAAATTGAGGTTTACAACCTATAGAATGCTTTTGTAGGCTTTCTGTTTATTTGAGACAGTCTCACTCTGTTGCCCTGGGTAGAGTGCCATGGCATCACACAAACTTCAAACTCCTTGGTTCAAGCAATCTTCTTGCCTCAGCCTCCCCAGTAGCTGTCTACAGACAATCACCACAACACCAGCAAGTTTTCTACTTTTGGTAGAGATGGAATCTTGGTCTTGAATTCCCGAACTCTACCAACCTTGGCTTCCCAGAGTGCTATAGGCGAGAGCTACAGTGCATGGCCCTATCTGTCTAATTTTTCTTTTGAGACAGAGTCTCACTGTGTCACCCTGGGTAGAGTGCTGTGGTGTCACATCTCACAGCAACCTCAAACCCTTGGGCTTAAGTGATTCTATAACTTCAGCCTCCCGAGTAGCTGGGACTACAGGCACCCACCACAACACCCAGCTATTTTTTGGTTGTAGTTGTCATTGTTGTTTGGCAGGCCTGGGCTGGATTTGAACCC